TCCAATTTCACTCACCCTTTCGATAGTGCAACGAATAAAAAGCTGGTTGGAAGCATTGCAGATAGATAAATGTTGATATCTATCTGTCTGATGGATATAGAACATCTAGCAACTACTACTCGCTAACAACTCATCAATCTGAATTTCAGTCGGTTTTTTTGTTGCTATACATCACACGCACTTATACGTACACTCACATATTATACGATTATAATACACACGTTCGTTCGTATGTCATTCAGAATATATCTTTTAAAATCTTCGAACATTCATATCAGTTATATATGTGCACTTCAGTATTCTTAGCTTCTCCAATTTACAACTTCACTTATACGCCAACAGCTATACGCATCAACACAGACAAAACAATAACAATTATAATAACAACAGCAATAATATTAATAATAACACAACAAAGAGAATACTCTGCAAAAATTTTCAATTGTCTTCAGCAAAAATTATGCGAGTGGAAGAATTCGAGTGGTAAGTCAGTGCGGTTTGACTTTATTCCCAGCTATCCATCTAGGAAATTAAAAACAGCTGTCCACAATCGAAAAAGACAGATACAGATGGTTCATTCTTTTCTCAGTTCTTCATCCAGTCATTTTTTGGACGATAAACTCTCCGACATGATGACCGTTTGTCCAATTCATTTAGCATAATTCGTTAATCAAGCAGCAGATCGTACTTGATTGCAAATGATCTATTGGGCGCCAGTTAAGAGTGATCGTTTCTTTATGGTTCATGAATGCATTGTTTTTGGAATTTCATAGTAATCTTGATTGATTAAGAAGATGAAATATTTGAGAAAACTGCTCAATTGAGTATCACTATCACCATCATCAAATGAACCGGCATCAAAGATGAAGACCGATGGGCGTGTAGCATTATTGCTAAACATTCTTTGCAAACTGTGGATCGTCGGTGCTGATCTCGTTCGCTTGCTGCACTTCACGGTTTCTTGCCCTGAATCAGTGGCACAAATCTTGTGAAAACATTCATTGCCAACTGTGAGCCAATTCCCATCACAATTCCATCCATAGTTCCGATTATTTGTACCATTCCGTCAGTTCGTTTACTACTTGGCAAATTCCGATTATCCATAAACGTCGAAATCACCACACACACTTTCCGCCGCTTTATTGTCATTTTATTCACCGTTGTGCAGATCGGTATTTTCAGTGAATTGGCATTTTTCAGTGAAACTTTCCATTCAAGGTCATAAACTGCTCAGCAACTTCGTCGATTCAATGGAGGTTGAACGCATTCAATAAAGATTTTTGAAATCACCCCTACATTCGAGATTAGGTAACACTTCTTGAGAGATGATCATCGCATCTTACTTACAAGCACTTGCATCGATGAGATGCTCAGTAAACAATGAGAGCCAATCTGTTTTCAATTTGACTAGCAATTTCATTTGTAAGTAGCTTAATCACTTCTTTGCGTTGTTTGTTGCAATTTCTTCCTCATTCACATTCTTTTTCTGCTCATACGAACAAAAAAAANAAAAAAAACGGATTGAATTGACTGGTAGATGAAAATGAAACTTGCAAAATTGCATTCTGTTTGACTTGAGATTGCTTCGATTGGAAATCAGCTTATCTCAAGAGGCAATAAAGCAATCGAAAGTAAATTTATCGGAGTCCTGACGAAACTGTCCGATTGTCCATCATGTTTAAGACAGTAATCGTGTGTTGGCATTTGAAGACAATGAAAGAATTTCGTTTAGAATACGTTTCGTTCGATTGCGCTCAGTTATAAAAATGCACTCAGTGGCGTTTAATGCTGCTTGTCGAGCTTGGCTGATTTTACATTCTGAACGAACAGCAGAACCGTTCGTTCTCTATTGTTAATACAGAACTCAAACAAATCTGGATTGTTCAACAACGCTTTTTCTGTTGATACATCGACTCAGTCAGTATCTGTGAACATTCATCCAGCTTGCTTGCTACCGTTTCATCGATTAATCTCTATTTGTCGATTGATCTATAGACTATCAACTTGTTTTGTTCACTCGTTCAATCGCCATTAATTTTGATTTCAACCAACTATCAAATTCACTTCAGTCGACCACCAACATCTAGCAGCTATCAAACTCTTCAGCTATCAAAAATTCAATAATGCCACCAAAATCCCAGCCACCAGGATTGCAGGTTGATTCTTTGTAAAATAGACCAAGATTTTCATTTCGTCCAATAAAAAATTTCAAACGCCCCAAGAGAAACTCCTTTGGTTTATCAAGTTTTCAGTAATTTTTCAATAAATCAATCATTTGCCATACAGTGTGATCATATATGAATGCGATTCTACCGTTGTTGTTGTTGTTGATCAGTCGGAATTCCCGCTGATGTTATAGACGCTTTGCGGAACGAAGAATACCTTTTGCATTTTTGATCAGTGCCTTATCGTTGATAACATACGAGCGGCAAAACTCCCTAATATCTGATAATCATTTGGTAATGCGGATCGAATAGCTTATCTCTGCAACAAAAATGGCTTACCTCTCCAGAATATTTCTGAAATAAATTAACGCAACAACAAAAAAAAAACGAAAAACAATTGAGCATTTATGCATTTCACTGATAAATGATAAATTATTCGCATGGTTTCACTATGTAACCGCTTATTCACTCACTAAGCCTAAGCGGAGAACACGAAGCATTTACAATCAAGTAGCAATTTATGAAATCATATTGTAGTAGTATTAGTGCAGCATTTTATTACTGTTGATAACATGGCATTTATTCCAGCAATAAATTTTTAGTTTTGTTCTGTTGATTAATGATTGAGTGGTATCGCAAACGAACACGACGACCCACAGTTGAGCGCTTAACAAAGTTGTTTTTGTTGGTGTTGGTACGCGAGACGATAAATTTCATTCACATAAAACTCGCATCATTTGCATTCGTTTCATCATATTCAAAAATCAGTATCTTAATCGTAGTGACTCGAACGCAATTGAATGATATCGAAATTATGTGTGCGTGTGTGTGTTTGATTTGGTATATTCATGAGAACTTGATTGCTTTCGTAAGAAAATTTGGAAGTTCTGTTCGTCGCGAAAGTGCGTGTTCCCAATACAATTTTAAAGGCTCCTTTCCAACATCGTGTCTACTCATATAAGCTGTTCAGTATAATCTACTTATGTAAATTATTCACATCGAACTATGTACAGCATTCGTTCAGTTTCAGTCAGTCATTGATGCGTGATTTTGAGGCAGTATTTGCACACCATCCTGCAAATTTAATGCTTCCAAATGATTGATGTTCAGCAGTAAGAAGTTGTGATGATGCATCTTTGTCGTATTGTGCAGAACGTTAATCGCTTTAGTTCGATTACCATTTATCACACGTTCAGTGCCATTTTTACGTGGTTGTTGGAATATTTGAGTGACAGTCGTTTGCGTTCTCATTGAGCAGCTAAGAAGGACGTAGCAACATCTTTCGACTAATACTTGGAAAAACACACCAATATGAATTCATTTTATCAGTGCTTTTATCAGTGAGCTATAAATGAGCTATCAATTAGGGTTCTGTTCTACTTTGCAAGTGCTGAATTGTCGAAAAAATCGCTTCAGCAGCAACAGCAGCACAATCTATCTTTGGGAATGCTTATCAAGCTACCAGAAATTTTTCAGTTGCTTATGATCATGATTTGGTTAAACTAATTGGTTGAATTGGTTGAATTAATACTGCTCATTGATATTGCTGCTGTTCACATATCAACGCAGCACTGAAAAACTACCACATTGTTTCTCAGTCATGTTTTCATATGTGCTACTCATAAATCATGCAGTTCATTTGCCCTCAATTCGGTGAAAAATCGAATATGCACTCATTTTTTTGGAATCAATCACTGCCATGAAAAAACGGGTTTTTTTGGAGAACTGGGACATTTTTTGATAACCGTGACATTTTTTGTGCCAGAAAGATAAGAACTTTCCAAAGTGTTCATTGTGGTGATGATCAATCTAGCTGATGTCGATCGACGTAATATGTGTCGTGCCATTCACCTTGGTGAACAGTCACATTACGGAGTGCATATTTATGGCTACTGATCATGCTATCGCTTCACTATCACTGCACCCTATCGTTTACTACTGATAAAGTTATCAGCGGACTGTGTGACGGTCATTGGGTGTGACGATCATGCGAATGAAATATCAAATTATGAAAGCTTTTCAGGAAAAAATTTCAAGAAAAAAGCAAAGTATAAACAAGAGGCAAACAAAACAAAACAAAAGACTTCTATCTGTTGACTGTTAATTTTTGTTCATGATTTAATCTTGTCAGTGTATCGGTCTCATCAAATTCTAAACCATCAAAAATGGTGCATTTGAGTGGCATATTTTTTGTGGTTGTGATCATATGCGCATCATCCGTATTGTTCCAAGTTGAAGCGATCACGAATGGTCACCTGCTAAGACGTTCAATGTCGCCATCAACTGCACTTATTCACGTTTGCAAGTTTTTATTCGATTTCAATTTTAGTCATTTTGATCAGTTCAATGATCAAACAGTATGCATCGTCCATTAAGGAAGCAGTGAATATAGGCTTTCTCAGGTTTCTGACTTGAGCGATCTTATCCAGACGGGACATTTAACAAAGAGGGATTTCATTAGTGAGAGAGAAGGGGTGGAAAGGAATTAATGATTCGAGGAGCTACGGTAAGCAAAGAAAGAACGGGAAGGAAACGGAGGACTAATGAGATGCGTAAACAAGCAGCCGAACTGCTCAGTAGCGTCGATCATAAATATTCCAACAGTTTGGTCGCAGTGCTCATGCGATAATAAAATTCATTTAATGGATTTTTTGATGTGATGGGAAGATTCGATATTTATGAACGCCAATAAAAGGCATTCTTTTTTGCATTTGTGAATTTTGAGTTTTTGCTCGTTTGAGCGTTCGATTTCAGTTTAGTTCTATTCAAGATTGCTTCTTGAAGGGATCGATTGACTGATTGATTTTTGCTTCGAAAATTTTGATTCGAATAAGAAATTGTGAATTGTTTCAGCAAGGCGAAGTCGACATGTTCGTGGTCATGGCTACAATATACGTCATGAGTATTGCACTGGTTCATTGCTTACAGGACAAGTGGTTATTACGGCTGGGCATTGTATCCAAGGAAAGAGAGGGTTGGTTAGCGTATTGCGTATTCATATTCCATCATTCAAAATCCATTTAACGCTCATATGATTCAGTTTGTACTATATCACACATGGAATATGGCACTTTCAAACAAACTAAACCTAAGCACACATATTTTGATGGTTTCAGATCGAAACTAATGGTCAATTTCATCGATCGAAAGAAGTTGATTTTATATCGCACAGTTCGCAAATTTTATATCTTTCGACAACATGTACGACGACGCTTCACTTTATTGTCTTTTGGATGATTTTTTTTNTTTTTTTTGCGATAATAGCGATAATAATAATCGCATTTAGAATTTTGCATGCGGAATATTACAGAAATGTGATCCGTTAAGAAAGTATTCTTCATTCACTCTCTTATTGTAGTATTATTATTCTATTTGAAGAATGGACCCGATATAGCGTTGTTGTTGTTGTCGAAACCCGTTACGATATGTGATCCAAAACGACGGAATTCAGTGGATCGCTTCGAGATTCTTAGACTTCCGCTCGGCAATGCACTTCGTTCAGGTTGGAGTGATGAGGAGGTAGAGCAGGCAAAATGTGTGATGTATGGCTACGGTCGCAATGAAAGTGAGTATTCCCAACAGTAGTATTCCTTTGACTCCCATTGTGGGAATCATTTTGAAATGATATCTCTCAGAGAATAACATCGCCACGAATGAACTCAACAAGCGATTTAGGTGAGGCAACGACGTAAAAAATGATCATTTTACGGCCATTTGTTTTGAGAGAATTAATATGGGAATTGCTGGAAGCAAAGATTCTTCTCATGTTATCGTCGTCGAATATTGTGAAATATTGCTGAGAGTTTGAAAAAGTGGCGAGCGACGAAAAATTTTTATTGGTTTAGCGAGAATTGATATTAATGTGTATCATTAACAAGTGATAAAGTTATTTCATCACGATTGTCATGACAAGCGTTTCATCACGATTTTTTTGTTGTTGAAATTGATTGATAAGAATGGTATTTTCAGAGTACTCAAAGTTGGACTATCGATTGCGAAGTATGCCAGTCAAATTGAAAGTCCGATCGCCTGAGCTGATCACAGATCTCAGACGGAATCAGAAAATATGCGAGGTCAATAAATGAGTGAAAATTTTCCAAAATAATGACATCCTAACACAGTTCATTTCAACCTCGAATACTCGAATAGATCCATCTTCCACTTCACCATCATCTAGGAACTACAGTTCAGCAACGGTTCTGAATAGATACTGATACCAGTGTTCTTTTAGCATGGCTATTTTCATCATTTTTGGCTAATTGTATGCCAAAAGACACCAACTTTTTATCAAGATAATGAACACATTCTAAGCGTTTTCCTGGCGACGACTAGATTGCGATTGGGCTGAGAATCACATTGAGTAGAGATCTTGGAGGTATGCACTTTGATAGATAAAGGGAAGATAAGAAAAAGAGATAAGGCGAGGAGATTCATTCTCATGTATACCATATCTCGGTGGGAAACACTTTAGCTTGTGAAAGTCTCTGATTGAAGGGTGATTCTGGCGGTCCAGTGGTGTGTACAAGGCGAGGAGTACGTTATCTCATTGGTATATCAACCTCAGTTACATCTAGACTCTCAGCCAACAAGCCTCAACTGTGCCATTTGAAAACTGCNTTATATTCATAGCGTCAAGGGCAATAACAATGACATCATTAATGACTTAATAATAATAATGATAAAATGATAAATAAGTAATAATCAATGATAAATTATAGTACGCAGTTGTAACTGGTGCGAAATTCTATGATATCAGGCATGGTATACCTCGAATTTTACGCTTTTTAAAAGTGCATAAACAATTGGACAAATTAATCGACGATTACGCTAAATGTTTCTGAAGGTTCAAGTCAGGGCATCACGATCAACTCAACGAGAACAAGGAGGCTTTTGCGATCGGTAATGAATGGTGTACTGTATAGATCGTAGTAGTGATCAGTGATACGAGCACGAAACTCATTGTGCCTCGGTGTTCGTTGGTTTTTTATTGTAACATTTGTTTGTGTTGTTCACGTTTCATTGCTTTAATGTGTATTTCTTAAAACAATCGTCTTTCATAGCAACTTTTGGATTTATATGGTGATATTTTGACACTATCGAATGACGATGTGTTCAAGCGCAGTTAGGCGCATGACCTGAGCGAGCTAGATGATGAAAGGTGCTGTCAGTCATCAAGGGTATTCTCTTGGCCTGGGCTCGCAGATCCCTAGTGACAATCGATCACCTTTGATCTGATCTAGAGCACATGAGTTTAGGGCGCATTCGATCGCGCCTTAACAATTCGACCTGAGGCTAAGTCGACGATCAAGGTGCTAACGTAGCCGTCATTCGACACGGCTCGAATAAGCAACCCGTTGTCTATGCACACTGCCCATCCATACGCATTTATCACTGATGTTTTATCATTTTGTATTGCTATCTTTTCGGCATTGTGATTTATTTTTACGCTTAATTGCGCTTCGCTCTTCATTTTTCTCGTTTTTTTCTCGTTTTTCTTTTTTAATCACTAATCCCATTTCAATTACTGCCTTGATTAATGTCGTTAAAATTGCTTGATTCCTTTCATCAATAATTCTTTCTGTTCCTTTCATCATTTCCACTTCTTATGCACAGAAATGTGTGAGTTTGGGGTTTGGAATAATTTCGAATGATTATTTGACTTCGTTCTGTGTTTGGTTTCCTTTTATGCGATTGAATCATATGTGGAGTGCATTCTTATATTTTATTCGATGTTATATGTATTTTATGTGCTGATAAAATTTCATTTTGTAATTTGCATTTTATTCAATTTAAATGAAACCAACATTTCATTTAATCGCAAAAATGGTATAAACACAATGAAAAAAGTCTATCTTAAAAACAGTCTTGAATTGGAAAACTGCATTTATAACTGAATGTAAACAAACAATTCCGAACAATACACACCGATCACAGTCAGATTTCAGAATTGCTCACAAACACCGACAATAACACAGAGGAAGGGAATTCAGAATTCAGACCTTCATACAGTGCGATGAAACATTTCGAATAAATGGGATTCAACTCAATTCAGTGACTGTCCTCGATCACACAATCGCACTTGTGATTTTCTTTCCAAGAATACGTTCCATCCGAATATATTTCCTGGAATGGTTATTTGCTGTTTGATTCAGTAGATGCAGTTTGCCAATATTTTTGATAGTTTATACTCTACTATCAATGAATTTCCATTTATTGACGATGTATTTTCCGATGAAACTTCTTCAAATGCTTCTTCTGGATGTAGGAAATAAATTATGATATAGAATATTATGATGAGGAATTATGATGTATTAACAGATTCCATCCCCTTATTCAGTCCGATTAACCTCGTTTTCATTCCTCCTAACCGTTCTGATGGAAGCAAGTGAACAATTCTGATGAGACCTTTTTCCAGATTGGTACCCGTCTTTTGAGCAGATCAATTGCCATTTCATTGCCACGTATGGCGTCCCGTCGATGCGGTGCACTTACCGCAATCACCACCGATGATTCGCCAACCGGAACTACTCTGAACTATAATTCATACACTTATTCGTTCATCCATTATTTTGCACATATCATTCGCGACAACTCAGTTTCACTCTTTCACAGTGAGAGTCTTTCAGCAAAAAGCGAAAAAATTCACGATTCTCCAAGATGATTTGCTTGTCAGAAATGATTTGTATGAGATGGAACTGATTGAGGCAATTATGAAAAAATGATAGCAATATAATAGAAGGCACTGGTGATTGCGCAGCAAAATGTTGCTCTAACCACTACCTTTGGGTGAACACAAGCATGTCTAGACGAATTAATTCATCCATAAATACATGATTGATGAGTTAATTGATTGAATCTACCAATGGACCATAATGAAAATTTAAAATTTAAATATTTCTCATATAAAATAAAATAAATGACAAAATAACAAGGTGAATAGTCTCGAAAGCGAACCCTGTTCGATGAATAATTGCTGCGCGACGTACACTCGGAAACTTCTCTCTAATCATCTCACAAACACGATGCATTTCCTTGATGGCCATCTCTTCATACGCTTCATATTCCAGTTGAACCACTCTCTTGCCGTCGAACGTATCTCGTGTTGTACCTATCGAATTGCTCATCGCTCAATTAATCGAGTTTACAACCTTGAACATTTCATGGAATTTGCTCGTAGAATAGGAAGTCAATAATATCATTAGGTGCTCTCAAAAGACAACAACAGACCAACAAAAACAGAAGTGCCGCCTGTGGTAGGTGCTGTAACAAATTGAATTGCCTCCTCAACTCGAATGGGATGCTCCTGAATGCGCAACAAATCCAAACTTGATTCTGACATCCGTTCTAAAAAAAGAAACAATTCGATCATCTACACAAATTCTGAGACAATCCTTGACTAACGTAGTAATCAAGAATGTTCACAAGTGATCATACGATGCAGAAACAAGATCAATTTATCAGTTGAATCATCTGAGAGCATCACATAAATCCTCAAAGACTACCCATATCATCCTATACTACGCAATAATAATATGGCATTTCCAAGCGCTAAATTCATCTGAAAAAGTATTCCTCGTAACGTAAGCATCAACAGAATTCCTCTTCACAAGCTAACTACAAAATGATAGTTCTCACTATTGTATCACGGATGTTGACATTAATGATTGGACACGTGAAAAAGAGCAATTTTTTGCGAATGATAGGTCAAGGCTCATGTATCACGGCTGTGTAAACATAAATAAAAAATGAATCAGCAAAATCACCATCGCCAAAAACGAATGATAAAGCAAAAAGGCGACACTGTTTGTAGAAAGAATAAGCAATAAAGGGAAGTGATAACTTATCACAACAAAAAAGTGGCTGTTAAAGAATTGTTGAGCAATCGATTGAAATGTACGTACGAGAGACGATGTGAACAAACGTAATGCGTAAATGCAATGTGAAAGTCATTTGATTGCAAAACATCGACCATCGTTAGCAATGTTGACCGAATCAGTATTCACATGACAGAATGAGTGCTTAAAAACGTGTCACAAATGAAGGTGCAATATAAAAACAGGACGGAATAATAATGCACCAGCAACTGATGAGATCGTCATCATATTCCTGCACTAAATACACCATTGTTGCATCATAAGCACAAGCATGTGTAAAACGGTTAAACTTCAGCCCAATCGCAAAATCTAATAAATACAATTAAAGAACTTTTGAGCACATTGCACGCCAAGTTATAAGTATACGGAATGAAGTCACAAACTGACGGAACGAATCGTTCGAAAACCTCAGTGCACCGTATTAGACGTTAGCGGTGTAGAATCAACTCATTCAGATGGCTATAGAAAAATAGCTATATCTTCTCAACCAAGCAGCATCTCCCAGTAAAATATATATTTTTCTGAGTGAGGAGATCCAGTTGGATCGACTGATGCAAAAAAATTCATATGTTAGTGGGCAAACTTGAGCTTACGGTAGCCTTGAAGGTAGCACCCTAGATAGCATGAATAAAATGCCTATATCTCCTCAACTAAGCCAAATTCCTCAGGAAAAATTTTAATATTCTTAATCTAGAGGTTCTGCTGGATCGAAGGGTGAAAAGAAATTCGCATGTTTCTGGGCAAACCTGAGAAGACGGTTAGCTCAAAGATCGCAATCCGCCTATTGCTAATATGAACGTATTGATTGCTCTATAGTGATCAATTTGTATGAATGAGCGCGACTGGTACTGACTGATTGATTCATTTGATCACCGCTGATCACATTGCTCATAATATTCATTCAGTTTTTCATTCAGTACTCATTTATTTCTGTTCCATATGTTTCGCACGGTAGGCTGGTGCGGTGTATGTGTACGTTTTGCATGATATTACTTGGCGTAAAATTCGCTATTGCGCCATCTATATCATGTGCCCAGATCGGTCTAACTTTTTAGCTTTATTGGTATTATACTGTTTGATGGGTCGATTATTTCATAAACTGAGGGGGTTATGAGAAGGGGATAAGTTCCGTCAGGGAAGATTATCTGGGCCTGGTCTTTGAGTTTAAATGATGATGTAAGCTGATATTTGACAGGCTTAAATCATATCTTATTAATTCATCATCATCGCTATATTAGTTATAGAACGTTGATAACGTTGAGAATAATTTATTGTTAGGAAATGTTTTATGAATTAATATTCTATTGAACTGCATTTGATGCAAACTGCGAATCAGTTACTTAATATTGCACAGTTATGAAGATGAGTGGGTGATCAAGCTGCTGTAGTTTTAGCGCTCCAGCTGCTGTTGAGGAATTGAATCATTTTTTGTGGTGATTTAATTTGTTATTTGTTGGCTCGAAATGACTTTATTATCAATTAGTCCTGCAAATTTTTC